TAGTGCCTCTCACACCCCCATGTCCCCCCCTGGCCAGCATTAGTGCCTCTCACACCCCATGTCCCCCCCCCTGGCCAGCATTAGTGCCTCTCACACCCCCATGTCCCCCCCCCCTGGCCAGCATTAGTGCCTCTCACCCCCCATGTCCCCCCCCTGGCCAGCATTAGTGCCTCTCACCCCCCCATGTCCCCCCCCCCTGGCCAGCATTAGTGCCTCTCACACCCACCATGTCCCCCCCCTGGCCAGCATTAGTGCCTCTCACACCCACCATGTCCCCCCCCCTGGCCAGCATTAGTGCCTCTCACACCCCCATGTCCCCCCCCTGGCCAGCATTAGTGCCTCTCACACCCCATGTCCCCCCCCCCCTGGCCAGCATTAGTGCCTCTCACCCCCCCCATGTCCCCCCCCCTGGCCAGCATTAGTGCCTCTCACACCCCCATGTCTCCCCCCCCTGGCCAGCATTAGTGCCTCTCACCCCCCATGTCCCCCCCTGGCCAGCATTAGTGCCTCTCACCCCCCCCCATGTCCCCCCCTGGCCAGCATTAGTGCCTCTCACACACCCCATGTCCCCCCCCCCTGGCCAGCATTAGTGCCTCTCACCCCCCCATGTCCCCCCCCCTGGCCAGCATTAGTGCCTCTCACCCCCACCATGTTCCCCCCCCTGGCCAGCATTAGTGCCTCTCACCCCCCCATGTCCCCCCCCCTGGCCAGCATTAGTGCCTCTCACACCACATGTCCCCCCCCTGGCCAGCATTAGTGCCTCTCACACCCACCATGTCCCCCCCCCCTGGCCAGCATTAGTGCCTCTCACCCCCACCATGTCCCCCACCCTGGCCAGCATTAGTGCCTCTCACACCCACCATGTCCCCCACCCTGGCCAGCATTAGTGCCTCTCACACCCACCATGTCCCCCCCCTGGCCAGCATTAGTGCCTCTCACACCCACCATGTCCCCCCCTGGCCAGCATTAGTGCCTCTCACACCCACCATGTCCCCCCCCCCTGGCCAGCATTAGTGCCTCTCGGCCACAGGAGAGGCAACGGCGAGTAATTTCCTGATTGCTACAAAACCCCAAACCTGACCACACTGAATTAGCCATACTGGAATTACAAATATAATCCGAGTACATAATCCTTCAGTATTTAAATCTAATGCTGCTTCACTGACTCTTATGTTCAAGTATTTATTATATAAACGCCAAAGGAAAAAAAATAAAATTAAAATATTTCTGAGTAATTTTTTTTTTATATCAGTCGAATTTTATTGACGTTGGATAGTAATGTGAAATTTAGTTGGTTGTATTTTGTCATGGTGGATGTGTTCTCCTAGTTGTGCTTGCGGGGGTTGAGCTTCGGCTCTTTGGTCCCGCCTCTCGACTGTCAATCAACTGGTTTACAGATTCCTGAGTTTATTGAGGAGAGAGTGAAAGGGTAGGGTGGGGTGGGGGGTGATGGGTACGTCGATATCCCTATGTACAGGCTACCTGTCCCTGGTGGGATAATGGTAAGACACTCGCCCCCACGCCTCACGAGTGAATTGGTATTGGTTCGAATCCTAGCAAGGGAGAATTGACTAGACACCAATCGTTGTAACTATTCGCCTCTATTCACTCAGCAGTAACTGTGCACCTGGTTGTTAACTAACAGGCGGGTCGTGTTGCAGGGAAGACGAGTAGACAAGGCCACTATAGTAAGGGCAATAGAGCCATAGAAAGGAAAAGCTCCTGTAACCCTTCTTACAGGAGCCAGAAATCACCTGCTCCTGTACCCTCCTGTGTAAAGAAAACCCACGAGAGAGAAAAATAAGACTGAATTATATGCCTGGTTGACACGAAACCCGTTGCTGGTAATCCCAGGTAAATGATCTTAACGAGATCGTTAGCCGGAAGGGATATACGGATAACTGATTATATTCGGATATAGGGGTATTCGGATAACTGAGTAGGCTCAGTGGCTTCGAGAGACTCAGTAGCTTCAAGACTCCCTATTGTGGCATGAGACACTCCTCGTCTCTCATGCCACCATACTACACCATATAGTGCCGCTGGTCACTATACTACATCACACCAAATTAGGGAACCATTCTCCACCTCATGTGGATTAGTACCTGGCCTCTACGACCTCATAACGTCTTGCTAAAGTGTCGGTATTTACCATTGGCAGACATTGTCAAGCCATGGTGGACGTCGGCCTACACCAACACCTCCTCTCCTCCACTTGTCAGCACCAGACAAAGAGCCATTAACAGAGCCAAGAATAGAGCCAACACCAGAGCCAAACAACAGAACCACCAACAGAGCCAACAACAGAGCCAAACAACAGAGCCAGCACCAAACAAGAGGAACAGAAGTCAATTTCTCGAGCTGTTGGTCTCCAAATCGAGTCCCTCGGCCATTACCCTCGGCCGCGGGGCTCGGCCACATCCAACACTTTGTTGACTCAATCTATGAAACAATATTGGCCCTTTTGTGGAGGCAAAGTCGCCCGCGCTTTTCCACTCTTCCCCCCCCCCGCCCCTCCCCCCTCAGGCTGCTAAAGCTGGAGATTCCTCTACGAATCGGTTCCCAAATGCTTGAGCTGGAAGCTGGAATGTAACAGTTTCTCTTCAACAACTGTGGAAGCTTGCAATTCAATTGCAATCACTTGCAATTCTCTCATCTAAGAACATTAAATACCGGCAGAAGATAGCCCGTCGGTCTATAAAAGGCAGCTATTTAGAGTCACTCGAAGTCATATAGAAGAATATTTTTTTTTTTGGAGCCAGGCGGTGGACTCGAACCTGCGTCTTAGGGCACCTTAGACACACACACACACATGGCTTGTCTCTCCCTTTTATGATTTGTGTTAATCTGATATGGAAACATCTTGAAGTCTTTAAGAGATTGATGTCACCAGGGAAGAGAGACAGAGACAGAGATGCAGAGACAGAGAGATACAGAGAGAGAGAGAGACAGAGATACAGAGAGATACAGATACAGAGACAGAGAGATACAGAGAGAGACAGAGATAGAGAGATACAGATACAGAGACAGAGAGAGACAGAGACAAAGAGACAGACAGAGAGCAAGACTAAGAGAAAATGATGTACACACACAATAAGAGCCAGAACCAGGGACAATCGCCACAACAATATATCAATATGATGGAGCGGGACAAAGACCAACCAATACATCGCGCAGTTTTTACGAGGGTCCATAATGATGAGGTGAGGGGGCGAGTAGGTGTTTATCCTGCCCTTCCCGCCCCATCACCAGGTGATTGATGCCCCTCACTCTCACTCTCACTCTCTCTCTCTCTCTCTCTCTCTCTCTCTCTCTCTCTCTCTCTCTCTCTCTCTCTCTCTCTCTCTCTCTCTCTCACTCTCTCTGCCTCACCCCCTCTACCTCAAGGGGTCTTATTATTGGTCTATATGTGTCCCCTGTGGCGTCAGGGGGGTTTGTTTATGTCCTCCAGTGTCCTCAACAATGTGATAGACTTGAGTCGTGGACGGGTTGGACCTTGGGCTAGGCTCGTTAAAGAGGCGGGCCGACCCCCCCCCCACAAAAGACGTATTCACTAAGGTACTGCGTATTCAAAATTGACATTTTTTCAAAGGTAATATTAATTTACTACAATGTGGTGAATGGCTAGGCTTAACTTAGTTTTAGATAGATTCTAGAGGTAATTATTTATGTTTGAAGTACGTGAGTGAAAAATTTAGAGGTGCGATTCGAGTAGAGGCATTCGAGCAGAGGTAGTGAACGAAGCGCTACTCAAGAACAGTTTCCTTCATCACCTGTGAGTAGTGTGTACTTTTTTTTTTTTTTTTTAATAAACAGCAGGTACGGTGGCTGGATCAATGAGCGTTTGACGTTTGTTGCTGTTATCTTGAGGTTATCTTGAGATGATTTCGGGGCTTTAGTGTCCCCGCGGCCCGGTCCTCGACCAGGCCTCCACCCCCAGGAAGCAGCCCGTGACAGCTGACTAACACCCAGGTACCTATTTACTGCTAGGTAACAGGGGCATTCAGGGTGAAAGAAACATTGCCCATTTGTTTCTGCCTCGTGCGGGAATCGAACCCGCGCCACAGAATTACGAGTCCTGCGTGCTATCCACCAGGCTACGAGGCCCCCATCTGTCGCTGTGAGCATCAGTTTGGCGTCGTTGGTAAGAGCTCCACCTGCCAACGACGACCCTAAACTGCGTCATTCACTAACGGCTTCATTATTTCTTCGTCGCTCAGTAAACGGTTCATGAGCCAGAAGTGCGCCAGTGCCAGCCCGTCCTCGCATACAAAGACCCAAGCTCGTTAATCCAGCCGCCAAACCCCCCTGTTTATGAATAACAAGCAGGTTACACACGTCTCACAACTGACAACGTTCGAACACTTCCGGAACAAGTGCTTCGCTCACGTCCTCTGTTCGAACCACAATTCTATAAATGCTTCACCCTCATACTTCAAGTACAAATCATCGCCAACAGAACCAAAACACCTGACCTAACCTAACCTACACCTAACCTAACCTAACCTAACCTAACCTACACCTAACCTAACCTAACCTAACCTAACCTAACTTAACCTACACCTAACTATACATAGAATTTGTATGTCTAATAATATTAATTTATATACGAGAACAAACCAATGGTTAATACACAGTATGTTAACATTGATGAATGCTTCTGGGGAGGACGGCCGCTGCTTTAACCAGCCTAGTGTGAGGACGGGTTAGTGTGAGGACGGGTTAGTGTGAGGACGGGTTAGTGTGAGGACGGGTTAGTGTGAGGACGGGTTAGTGTGAGGACGGGTTAGTGTGAGGACGGGTTAGTGTGAGGATGGACAACCATTCTCTCCCCCCCCAGGTTGCCTCCTGGGGGGGGGAGGGAGGGACCTCAATATAAGTCTAAACTATGTATACATATACACACATACACACAGGCTCCCTGTCCCAGACAAAATTCACTATTACTACTATTGTTATGAAATAAATTTTTTTAACATTTATACGACATTTAACGATACCTGTTTAAAGGGAGGAGCGGTGGTTGAATGATGGCAGAGTCAACCTGCTAGTTGCCCGTCGCAATGATCGGTGACGGGACGCTGACAGTGGACGTCAGATAACACAAATCAATCAATACGGGTGCAAATATCCTCTCAATATCAATCAATATTCTCTCCCCAGGACGGACGACAACGACCTGGCAGACAGCTGCCTCTTTCCTTGACCTCAGAAAATGTAAACAATGGAATGCGCGCGCGCCTCCCCGCGACAGTCATATGAACTACCCTGATGACCAAGCCACCACACCAGAAGATGAGCAGACGACGACGTTTTGGTCCGTCCCTGAGACCATTATCAAGTCGTGTAGGCTTGATAATGGTCCAGGATGGACCGAAACATCGTCGTCTCCTCATCTTATCGTATGTAGTTCGTTCATCACATCTTCAGCCACGTTATTGTGACTCATGAACTACCATAATTACTCCATTAGCACTTACTACGAGGGATGCCATCTTTCGTCATAATAATTATATTCTACTAATATGTTCTCGTAAATCACCAGATGAACTATAGTCTGCTACAGGATAAACAAACCTTACATCTCACCCTTATTGTAAGGATTGTATTATTCTCACCCTTAAGAACCTCAGCTGCTGCTTCTAAGGTCAGACTGCAGCACTTGACCATTCTCACCCTTCAATAAAAAAAAAAATGTTTAGAAGTCATTTCGACCTTTTTTTTGTGTAAACTGTTACGAATATAAATGAAAAGACACATAGGCATGATCTTTTTCTCATTGAATGACTTTGGAATTTCTAAAAGGAATGCATTTATGTACAATGTAAAAATACTGATCCTAAATCAGACTTGACTCTGTTACAGTTTGTTTACTACATATTGAAAATACATATTTTATGTGTCAACAACTGGCTTCAAAAATGGGGAAAATATATAGCTTTAAAGGACCCCCCCCCATGGATTATAGAGCTTCAAGAGAACCCCCCATCAATTATACAGCTTTAAAGAACACCAATGCGTTATAGAGCATTAAAGGACACCCATGGATTATAGCGCATTAAAGAAACCCATGGATTATAGAGCTTTAAAGAACACCCTTGGATTATAGAGCATTAAAAGACACTCATGAATTACTGAGTTTTCGAGGACACCGTATATTGTATAGTCACTGTATCTTGTGTCCCCTGTGTTGTATAGTCACTGTATCTTGTGTCTCCAGTGTTGTATAGTCACTGTATCTTGTGTCTCCTGTGTTGTATAGTCACTGTATCTTGTGTCCCCTGTGTTGTATAGTCACTGTATCTTGTGTCTCCAGTGTTGTATAGTCACTGTATCTTGTGTCCCCTGTGTTGAATAGTCACTGTATCTTGTGTCTCCTGTGTTGTATAGTCACTGTATCTTGTGTCCACTGTGTTGTATAGTCACTGTATCTTGTGTCTCCTGTGTTGTATAGTCACTGTATCTTGTGTCCACTGTGTTGTATAGTCACTGTATCTTGTGTCTCCTGTGTTGTATAGTCACTGTATCTTGTGTCTCCTGTGTTGTATAGTCACTGTATCTTGTGTCCCCTGTGTTGTATAGTCACTGTATCTTGTGTCCACTGTGTTGTATAGTCACTGTATCTTGTGTCTCCTGTGTTGTATAGTCACTGTATCTTGTGTCTCCTGTGTTGTATAGTCACTGTATCTTGTGTCCCCTGTGTTGTATAGTCACTGTATCTTGTGTCCACTGTGTTGTATAGTCACTGTATCTTGTGTCCACTGTGTTGTATAGTCACTGTATCTTGTGTCTCCTGTGTTGTATAGTCACTGTATCTTGTGTCCACTGTGTTGTATAGTCACTGTATCTTGTGTCCCCTGTGTTGTATAGTCACTGTATCTTGTGTCTCCTGTGTTGTATAGTCACTGTATCTTGTGTCCCCTGTGTTGAATAGTCACTGTATCTTGTGTCCCCTGTGTTGAATAGTCACTGTATCTTGTGTCCCCTGTGTTGAATAGTCACTGTATCTTGTGTCTCCTGTGTTGTATAGTCACTGTATCTTGTGTCCCCTGTGTTGTATAGTCACTGTATCTTGTGTCCACTGTGTTGTATAGTCACTGTATCTTGTGTCTCCTGTGTTGTATAGTCACTGTATCTTGTGTCTCCTGTGTTGTATAGTCACTGTATCTTGTGTCTCCTGTGTTGTATAGTCACTGTATCTTGTGTCCCCTGTGTTGTATAGTCACTGTATCTTGTGTCCCCTGTGATAAATAGTCACTGTATCTTGTGTCCACTGTGTTGAATAGTCACTGTATATTTGCCTTGAGACACTGCATATTGAATCATTTGATGATTTCGTTTTAGGTTTCTGCTTCGTGGTCGTTCCTGGAGACAAAGTCCATAAATTTTGCCATGTTCGTCTCTCCAATTTTCTGTTCACAATTTGTTTTTCTTAGAAATTCTCCAATTAATTCGTAATGGACTTTCCTCTAAGCTAACTTTATAAACTTTTCCTTCCGTTGGCTCACAATGGTAGTGAATGGAGAGGTCAGAGAGGGGTTATTTTTAATTAGTTCCTCGCACACTTCCTTGTCATTTGTAGTGAATCTGTCTGCCCCTATTCTCAATTTCATAACCTGTTCCTTTACTGTTGTTTTTCTCCTGATGTGGTTATGCAGCAATTTAGGCTGAATCTGCCTTGCTTGCGATGTCATTTTCATATTGCCTTTCTGCCTCTCTTCTCAACCTGACATATTCATTCCTGGTACTCTGGTATCTTTCTCTGCTCTCAAGTGTCCTGTCATTTCTATAGTTGCTCCACGCCCTTTTACTTTTCTACTTGGCTAGCCTGTATCTCTGATTAAGTCATGGGTTTCTCAAATTCATTTCATTGTTTACCTTTTGGACCGTTACAAACTTGTCTGCTGCGTCCTTACACTTCTGCGTGATGTAGTCCATCATGTCTTGGGCCGTCTTTCCCCTGAGCTCTGTTTCCCATGTTATATCTGTTAGGAATTTTCTTATCTCCTCATAGTTTTCCTTTCGGAATGCCAGCCATTAATTTTCAGAACCCCTCCACGAGTTCATTAACCCTCTTCAACCAGATACTCAAACGTCAGTACACTGTGATAGCTCATTCCTACTGGGGCCTCGAAACCGATTTCCCTCATGTCGGAGTCGTTCAGAGTGAAGACTAGGTCGAGTCTCGCTGGTTCATCGTTTCCTCTGATCCTTGTGGGTTCCCCGATATGCTGGCTTAAAAAGTTTCTTGTCGTCACCTCCAATAGTTTAGCTCTCCATGTATCTTCACCATCATGCGGTTCCTGCTTCTCCCAATCTATCCTTCCATGATTGAAGTCCCCCACATGTAGTCCCCGGATGTGGCTCATTGCACATATTCGGAGTTTGAAATTACGACTTTTTATTCCGAAAATATGCCAATTACTGAAAACAGCGATGGGTCACATTTTGCCCAAAACTCCCTGCAGTTTTCAATATATCTGAAATGTCGGAAATTTGACTCCTGAACGTGATATTTGAGCCGAATTTTGACTCTCTGCACCTATTTTCATTTTTAAATTACGACTTCTTATATCGAAAATATGCCAATTACTGAAAGCGGCGATGGGTCATATTTTGCCCAAACCCCCCTGCAGTTTTCCAAATATCTGAAATGTCGAAAACTTGACCCCTGAGCGTGATATTTGAGCCAAATTCTAACTCTCTGCACCTATTTTCATTTTCAAATTACGACTTTTTTTTTAAATATGCTAATTGCTGAAAACGGCAATGGGTCATATTTTGCCCAAACCCCCCTGCAGTTTTCCAAATATCTGAAATGTCGGAAATTTGACCCGTGAGCGTGATTTTTGAGCCGAATTCTGACTCTCTGCACCTATTTTCATTTTTAAATTACGACTTCTTATATCGAAAATATGCCAATTACTGAAAGCGGCGATGGGTCATATTTTGCCCAAACCCCCCTGCAGTTTTCCAAATATCAGAAATGTCGGAAATTTTATCCCTGAGCGTGGTTTTTGAGCCGAATTCTGATTCTCTGCACCTATTTTCATTTTAAAATTACGACTTTTTATACCAAAAATATGCTAATTACTGAAAACAGCAATGGGTCATATTTTGCCCAAACCCCCCTGCAGTTTTCAAAATATCTGAAATGTCGGAAATTTGACTCCTGAGCGTGATTTTTTAGCCGAATTCTGACTCTCTGCACCTATTTTCATTTTCAAATTACGAATTTTTATACCAAAAATATTCTAATTACTGAAAACGGCAATGGGTCATGTCGGAAAATCCGACACCATTTAATATATCATACAGACAGATAAGAGCTGTGTTGTATAAACAAGTTACCCATAGAAAACGTAACTTGTAGTGGAATTACCGTCTAAAGAAAACGGGATATCATCACCACATACTATTATAATTCACCAGCTATTCTGCTGGGAATTATTCTTAAATACATTAGTCTTTGGACTTTACCATCATAAAAACATCTTATATAAATTAACTTAATTATCAATATTAAAGTAGAGTAAATGTGACCCTTCTATCACTTTCTGAAATCTGGACAAAATAGGCCAGACGTGAGGGAGGAAGGAGGGAGCCATTGTTGTGTCACCTCCGAGACGTGTGGAGCAAATTCGGCTCCTATCATTCTGGACAATGTCGGCCAGTAACGTCAATAGTATGGAGTGTTAAACAGCCATTGTTTTATATTGAGACCAGAGGCTCACACGGGGGCAAATTCGGCTCCTGTTAATTTTACTTGGACGTAGTGTTATGGAAACCAAAGGTACCATCTCCAACACGCTGTCTACAAATTCAAGTTAAGTGTCTATCCGAAACCCGTTTATCATTCATTTATGGCCATTAATGTCAGGATATAGGGTGTTCCGGTTAGATCACGTGGAAGCCTCAAACTAAAGGTAATTAAGCCAGGTCTTCAATGTTCCATGTACTGTATAGTGTTTTCTCTGATATAGCTTGTCATATATAGGATTCTGGCTTCACAGCTAGCGCACTTTTGACAGGTCAAGACGAGGATGGAAGACTTTGTGCACCAGTTACTGGGTGATAGAAGCTACCTCAAAGAGGATAATTTGGTGTCTACACCCTAGTTATACCTGGTGGACTAACCTGCTGTACTATAAGATAAGGAACCTTTTCAATGT